ATATAATATATAATATAACGTATGTTTTTTTATTTTATTCCGAAAACTTTTTAAATGACTCATGTATATTAACTAAGCAAGAGATTGGCAAAATAATATAAATTGTATAATACAGTATTTTATACTCATTGATTATTTCTCTTTAAATATTCAAGAGAAATAATACAAAACATTTTAAACGGTCAATATAACAACAAAAATATGTAGAAAATTAATTTGTTGTTTACAAATTAATTATTACAAATTTGTTGTTTACAAGTTTTACAAATGTTTCAATTTTGTCGTTATTTAACTGATTATGCAGTATTATCTCACAAAAATTACGATTGTTCAATTAGAATTAGCATATTTTGTAAATTCGCAGTTATCGTATCGAACATGCAATACAAATTCATACACTACAAGATATCATTCTGCTCAATGAAAAAATGGTTCACAAGCAGATAGTTCATGCCATAGATATGCATCGCAAAGCTATGATGTCGGTATTTATCCATAATGCTTCTAAAATAATAATATATAATATATACACACAATAAAACATTTTCTTGTTACTAAAGGTTCTCTAAATATTTGATAACTCAATTTGAGATATCATTCATGTTATTAATAATATTCGGAGTGATTGGTTTGAGCTTCAATATTTTGCAAGTAAGTTCTATGTTTTATTTAGTAGTATGATATTTAATAGTTTTCATATAAAAGTAAATAGATATCTAAACAAATTGTATGCTTTTTAAAAACAAAAATATGCTTTTTATTAACATATTTTATATGACATTATATTATAACTGTGTTTCTTGTTATTAAATATGTTACAACATATTTTTATCAAAAAGACCTGCCAAAAATAGTTTAGTATAGTTAAAAGCAAAACTGAAAATTAATACGTCTTTCAAGTCTTTATATTTGCAAATATTTTTTTATGATTTGAATTAAGTTATAGTTATGATATTGTATATCATATTGTATTATAAATTTTAATTTATGTAAATTAAGTTTAAAAGAAAGTTTAATCTCAATACAATTTGTATATATCAGATTTTTCAGATCATAAATTCTACATATAATATCAAGAAACTTTTTATGCTTGTTGTAATTACAAGTATCAATGGCTTGTACATGTTTTTAGCCAATTTTATTGGGCAAGAAATTATAGATCATAATAACAACATATTTGCCACTATGTAAGATATATATTTACGTTGCACACTCCTAACGTTTTAAAAATCTATAATAATAAAGATTCATATAATACGTAAATCAGTATACCCCAGACAACACAACATATCCAAAAGACGTCCAGAGGGTATCCCGAAGACGTTTTTGGGATGACAAGACATCCTCTGGATTTCTTTTGGATGTATTTTGGACATGTGTGCTGTCTGGGACGTATAATTATTGAGAAACTTATTATTATTATATGACAGATATAATATCCAATGGTACATAACTTCTACACGTATACAAAAGCTAATACTGCTGATGTTGCAAAGAGGCAACAAACTTTTTGGGCTAAATATCGGTGGATTGTTTGTAGCATCGTTACAGTGTTTTGCTACGGTATAGAAAATTTTATGTAGTATAATGCTTTTTAGACGTAATACCTATGCTTGAGAGCGTTCAAATAAAAGTATGTATGTTACAGTTAGCCAATGCATCTGTATCTTACTTTACCGTCTTATATTCAATGCAATAATGAGGATAATATATATACAGGATGATTCAAAATAACCGTATGTCCTTAAAGGGGAATATTCCTGAGCGTATTCTGAGACAACTTTTCCTTTGGCAAAAGTTTGTGCAGAGCTTAATTTTCAAGTTATAAAAGAAAATAGTTAGCGTATCGTGAGTCGAGTACGAGAAACAAGCAGGGGCGTCGCAACTCACTGTTACACGCGAGTGTTTACGTGAGGCGCCTGCTACAATCAGCTGACACACGATACACAAATACGTATACGCATCTCGTTTTCTCTCTTTCTCTCTCTCTCTTTCTCCCGCGATGAGACAGATCCATATCGAGTAAAAGTTTTTCCACTTTCTTATGGTTCACGTTTCACGTTTTAAAAACACAACACATTCACATACTTTGTTTACTCACTTCATCGATAAAACGAGGAATTTATTTAATGATCACTACTAATCACTTGATGCGTGAAAATTACTCGAAAAAAGAAACACGTGTTTTTCGAGTAATTGTGTATCGTGAGTGTCAGCTGATTGTAGCAGGCGCCTCACGTGAACACCCGTGTGTAGCGGTGAGTTGCGGCGCCCCTGCTTGTTTCTTGTACTCAACTCACGATACGCTAACTATTTTCTTTTATAATTTAAAAATTAAGCTCCGCACAAACTTTTGCCAAAGGAAAAGTTGTCTCAGAATACGCTCAGGAATATGTCCCTTTAAGGACATACGGTTATTTTGAATCACCCTGTATAGTACATGTGTTCGCAAAATAAATGCATCTTTTTAATTTTAAACATTT